TCTATTGTTTCTCAATTACTTGAATCCTATTTTCTTATCTAAAGCACCCCTTTTATAAGAAGCATCTTTGATGTCTACTTTGCCATCATGAAGTGAAAGTAATAAATACAGGTTAAACATCCCTAATCCAAAAATCCAAACTCTGAAATTCTCCAAAATCAAACTTTCAGTACTGACACAATGTCACAAGTAGAGAATTTCAGCCTGTGAAACTTTGTTTCAAGGACATTATTAAAAATATTGTGTAAAATTACCTTGAGGCTGGGTATATAAGGTATCTGAAACAAATATAATTTTAGGTTTAGATGTGGGTCCCATTCCTAAGATATCTCATTATGTCTATGCAAATATACCAAAATCTAAACAAAATCCCAAATATTTCTCATCCTAAGTTCTTTCCGTAGCAGGTTACTCTGCTTCCTAGAAAATAAAAAATGAGTCAAGAATTAAGTGCTGGTGCTTCTATGGGGTGGTCCAATTGGAATGCACCAAGAGTGACAGAGAAGGCAGGAGCACAATGCAGGGCGATTCATAAGTGCTCCATGGGGCCCAAGAGCTGTGGCCAGCCATTCAGCAGCAAGTGTCCTCTCCTTCACATCGAACGTCTCAGGGCCCAAGGTGTATGGAGGAAGCCATGCCTCAGACAAGACCCAGGCCCGGAGAGGATTCTTGACCTGCTCAGCTCCTCTCTACTGTTAACTCCTGTTGGGCCCCACAGGACTTAAATCTCCAACAGTCTTACATTTTTCAGGTTATTTTCTTTAGCACCTGCTTAGAAAGCCAGTTCCTATTCCTTGCAGTGTAGCTTCTTTTCTGGGTCTGGAATTGATGATCCAACCCAAAAGTCTACATATGCATCTCCTTAGTCCAGCCACAGGGCAGCAGCCAAGGGAACAGGGAAGCGAAGGCAGCATCTCCAGAAAGGCAATTGCTTAGTTCTAAGAGGCAGAGCCAGCTGTGGTGGTACAGGTTGAGAGAGTAGCTGAGAGTTTAGGAGTTGAGAGGATGGCATTGCACCAAGGTGTTTCAGGAAGTACACAGGATGTATTCAACATGTTCATATCACACACACACACACACACATACACTCAGGACTTCAAAAAAGTTGATAGCTTCTGGATGAGCATTTGGCTCAACAACTAAGGTGCCACTGGACATCAGCATCCCATATAGCAGTGCCTGATTCAAGTCTGCTCCACTTTCAATTCAGGCTTATTTATTTATTTATTTTTGCTAATTGTGCATCTCGGGAGGGAGCAAGAGATGGCTCAAATAGTCGGGTCCATGCCACCCACGTGGCAGACCCAGGTGAAGTTCTGGGCTCCTGGCTTTGGTCAAGCCAAGTTCTGACTATTGTAGGATTTTTGGGAGAGAACCAGTAGTTCTCTCTGTCTGCCTTTCAAGAAAGTGAAATTTTTAAAAAAATTGATCTATATTCTAACTGAAAAGGCATTTTTAAGAAGGAAGCTAGATAAAAATATACTTTTCAATATGCAGATGCTGTAGCACAACTAGAGAAGGAAAAATGAAGTCAAATGTGTTTTTTTAACCTAGATTTGCCATGAATGAAGTGGCTATAATCCAGCTGGTTTGCATTGGTAACTCAAGCACATACACAGGCTTGCTACCTGTGACTTATTTTATAAAAGGTTAATGATTTTTGGTAATGCATTAAACAAAAATATGTTCTTTCTTCCATATACATGGTACTTGCATGTCTCAAACATTCAGAATACATTGCATAAGTAAAAAATGTTTTCATTTCTAGAAACTAGTGAAAGTCTAGGCTTAGATTATTTAAACAGGTTTCTCACATATGTGACTAACTCAGACACACAAAAATTGTGACTGAAACAGCACCATTTAATGAAGAGCTGTCATTAGCATGATATCTACTAATTGGTGTTCCCTCCCCCAAGTCATTCTGACAATCAAGTAGAACCCCCTAGGCTTAATTGTGGGGTTTAAGGCAGACAGAATGATCCTTGAGAACCACTAAAAAGAAACAAAACAAACAACAACAAAAATAAACCCCAAACCACTAAAAACCCCCTAAACAGATAGGAGACAGTGTTACCACTTGCTGATTACCATTGACTGTAACCATTGGAATATTCAAATATACCTGTATCCCAGGGCTTATTTAGTCACACTGACTTTTTCAGCTCCTTGTTCATAAGAATGCTGCCAATGTGATCCTTGCACATTAGCCTTTGTGCACACATGTAATCACTGCCTTGGAGTAAACTCTCACAAGTCAAAAGGTACATGCGTGTTAAGATTTTTATGGCTGTTGCCCAGGTGACCCAAAATTATAGCCAAATATACACATTATCATGGCTGTATAAAAGCCCATCACCTCCTACCAGTAGGTATTAGAGAAAATTTTAACCTTGGTCAACTCATTCTGTAAGATAAAAATATGGAAGTTTAAATGTCCTAATTAAGACTAGTAACCAAGACCGAGATTGAATCAGTAATAAAGACTCTTCCAACAAAGAAAAGCCCCGGACTGGATGCCTTCACCACTGAATTCCACCAAACTTCAAAGAAAAACTAATTCCAATTCTTCTCAAACCAGTCAAAACAATTGAAAGGCAGGGAATCCTCCCAAACTTCTATGAGGCCAGCATCACCTTAAGTCCAAAATTAGAAAAAAAATTCAGCAAAGAAAGAACCAATATCCCTGATGAACATAGATGAAAAAATTCTCAACAAAATACTAGCTAATCGAATCCAACAACAAATCAGAAAGATCATTCACCAGGATGAAGTGGGATTTATCCCTGCTATGCAGAGATGGTTCAACATACGCAAGAAATAAATATGATACATCACATTAGCATATTGAAGAATTAAAAAAATTTGATTGTCTCAATAGAAGCAGAGAAAGCCTCTGATAAAATATAACATCTTTCATGATAAAAAAAAAAAAACTTAAGCAAATTGGATATAGAAGGAACATTCCTCAACAGAATCAAAACAATATGACAAATCCACAGGCAGCATCACATTGAATGGGGAAAAGTTAGAACCATTTCCATTAAGATCTGGAACCAGACAAGGATACTCATTCTCACCTTTCCTATTTGGTATCTGAAAGCTTTCAGCAGAGTCATTAGGCAACAAAATGAAATCAAAGGGATATAAATTGGAAAGGAGAAAGTCAAATTATCCCTGTTTACAGACGACATGATCCTATACATAGGAGAACCAAAAGTTTGGTAAAGTTGCAGGATACAAAATCAATACACAAGAATCAATACACAGATAGCTCCACAGCTGAGAAATATCAGTAGCATTCACAATAGCTACAAAAATTTTAAATACCTTGGAATAAGTGTAACTAAGGATGTGAAAGATCTCTACAATGAAAATTATAAACATTAAATTAATAGAAAACAAAAAAATGGAAAAATATTCCATGTTCGTTACTTGTACTCCAATCTTTATTGCAACTCAATTTAATATCTAAGATATGGAATCAACCCAGATGTCCATCAACTGATGACTAGATAAAGAAATTTTGGTATATATACACTATGGAATAATACTCAGCTGTAAAAAAGAAATCTTGTCTTCTGCAACAAAATGGATGCAACTGGAAACCATTATGCTTAGTGAAATAAGCCAGTCTCCAAAAGACAAATGTTTTCTCTGACTTGTGGTAATTAATATACTGAGCACAAAAATAATGTAGTGTATATGAGTGAAACTGACATTTTTTAGATTTGATTATTGTTTACAGCCCTTTTCTATACTCTTGAGGAACAGTGGTTTTTCTAACTACTACTTGGTCAATTCTTTATTTGGTGGAGGATTAAGCTTGTGACTATAAAATAAACTGAAAATATTTCATTGTAAAAATTAAAATAAAAAATAAGAAATGAAGGAGGAGGGGGGAATGGGATCATGGGCAGGAGGGAGCATAGGGTGGGAAGTATCACTATGCTCTTTAATCTGTAAATCTCTTAAATCACCTTATATAAATAAGATGTTACAGACCGGTTTAAAGCCATTTACAGACAATTGTATGTTACTCAGTAGCTCACAGCTTTAACTTGTCTTGTTCTATGGACATCCATATGCAAGAGAAATTGGACTTTCAGTATCTTCTCGGGTAGAACTAGGGTCATGACTGAAAGTTGGGCAGATAGAAGTATTGTCTCTAAGAGTGTAAGAACTTTAAAACAATCCACTGGAATTACCTGGCTGGGGAGATAAGCAGCTCAGTCCTCAACAGTAGGAAATTTTTAGCTTTGGGTTACATGAGTAACATCAAGAGCTCTGAGGAAGACATTTCTGAGTTTAGTGGAATATTACACAAGGTCAGTGTTTCCCCTAGTACCTTGACCATGGCATATGTGTGGGATGACTAAAAGAAATTTAATTGGTGTATATTTATTAAGTTTGTATTATATCAATAGCAAATAATATGCTTTAATATATTAAGGTAGCACTGCTGGAAATATAAACATTGGGAAAAGATGTGCTTGATGATCTCTGAGATTATACAGTTGTAAATCTAAAATATCAACCTGTAAACAAAACCCTCACAAGCAATTTAAACAAAAAATAAATTCTAGGACAAAGGGAATTTGAGTATTTGGACTTTGGTGTACAGGTCAAATCCCATGAAACCTTTAGTTAAAAATGAAAGACTTATGCCCCAGGTAAAGACCTATCCTGAAACTATATTCAACATGGCAGTTTGGTGACAATGAAATTGTTCAGATAGTTTCAAAGCTTGCTGCAATGGAATAAAGCCTGTATGTTTCAAATGAATGCAGAAAGTAATGTGTACCCACCAAAAAAAAAAAAATTCTAATGGCATCCCCTTTATCCACGAGCACTTCCAAAGCCACTCCTGGCAAAAGGAAACGGTAGGACATCTTCACACTGCTCTGGTCCTCTGAGACCATGTCTGAACTATCATGGAAACACTATCCCCTCTACTATATATCGTATTTGGAATATAATGTAGACTTCTGCACTGGAAATCATGGATGAATATTTATTTAATTCATGTATAAAGTTGACATGATAGTCATGATATTATAAATACAGGCACATTTTTTTTAACTCTAGGAATATCCAAAAATTTACTTCCTCTCCCCAGCCTGCTCCAATGAAATCCCTAATATTTGTAAAACAGAGATCTATGATTTTAGGAGAATCCACCTCAGCATTAAAATCATTCTTTCCATTGCCATTCAGGCAGGTCAACGAGCTTTTAGACAAAGGGTTGTGTGTCTGCAGCATTTTCATCCTATCCTTTGTTAGAATTAAATACCTCACCTGGGTACTTTGTATTCAGGTTATGATTTTGTTTCTCCTGCTTAATTCAAGTCAGAATAAACAACTGATATCTATATTCACATTGGCCTTCTTTAAATCTCTTTTAAGAGATGTCGCCAACCAAAGGACTCACAGAACCACATCTAGTGAAAAATGGACAGCTTCCCACAAAGTACAGATTGAAAAACTGTTCATTTATATCGATTTTCATGTAGGGAAAACATCATTAGCGTAATAACTCACGGGGTTGAGCACAGAGTGAACTGGACAAATTTCTCAAAATGACTCAGTTGATCCATTGAATATTCTCAGAGATGATCCAGACTTGGGAGCCTCTGCCATACCCACTAACACACATTGAGACAAGATGAAAATCAATTCAAAAGAAGAAAAAATGGGTAGTTGAAATTGATTTATCAGACTCACTCTGTTATTATATACTTGGAAAAAATAATGATTCACAACACAATTCTCTTGGTAAAATTTTCTATTTCTTGCTAAGAACACAGTTTAATTTACTTCAGAAATTGCATGATTTTTATTCAAATATATTTTCCTAAAATATAAATATTTAAATTAAGTTTTTATAAATGTAAGAGAATGTAGTTTCTGTTGATCTCCACACAAATATTAGTCCAAAACTTAAATGATGAAGAAATAATATTTGTAATGATTGTTTTGATCTGTCTATAAATATATAGTAGGATCTTTGCAACTTAGTCATGAGTAATTAACTCATACTTCATGTAGTACCGAGCACCTTAGATTACATTATGTTGAATTAAACTATTGGCATTAATTATGGATTTTAACATGTTATTTACAATACACAAGTATAATTCTCTTGTATAACAACATTCCAGTGATTCTGAAAATATAGAGAGAGTGCAAGACAATTTACAAATGCATCAAAGCTGTTCTACAGTATTTAAGATGGGATTTCACTCTTCAGCATTTTAAAATAAGCAATAAAAAGTCAATATCCTAAAGCTGTGTTTTCTAAAGCAATTTTCAAAAATGCGCTATCTTCACCAGAGGCCCATTGGAAGGGAGTCCTGTGGGTAAGTGGAAGGGATTCTCCCCTGGAAGAATCACAGTGAACATCAAAGTCTGCACAGGAGGCCAGCAGTACTGAAATCTGTTTAACATTATTTTAACTCGGTATTTAACAAAGATTTTCATTACCAAATCCCTACCCTGTTCCCACCCCTTCATAATACCTCTCAATCAATGTCCCTTAGAATTAGTGTCAAACAATACATATATTGGGGGAAATGATAATTTTAAATAAAACTTTGTAACTCGATTACAAATATGTCTGAATGGGCAACATCACATTCTTTTAAAGCAATTTCACTTTTTAAATCTCTTTGCATAGGTATTTGTTAAAATATGACTCTTAAAAAACATGTTAGTTTAACACAGAACACTTATCTATGTAAACTATAGGGGAAAGATGGATTAGAAATGCTTACAGAAATCTTAGAGCTAATTTTCAAGGTTTTAGAAAAGGAACTCCAAAATCAAATAATGGGTGCTATTTTCAGTGAATTAGTTTTGAAAGACAAAAGCAAAAGCATTAAATCAGAAATGTACTATATATACTCTGAAAATATTTTTGTAGAAAAATATCAGGTCATTATGTTATTTCCCTGGAATTCTGAAAGAACTGCAGATGCTAGCAATTGATTTGATTACAACACTGGGTCTATATGTAAAACCCAGAATCATCCAGAATTAAATAGGCTGCTCTATTACTCACTTGAAAATGCATGCATACAAGCACAGTCAGGAACAAGGGTCAATAAATTGCTCAGTACTTCTATTGGAAACCACAAAATGGGGATAATTAGTTAACCCCAACCACATGGGTTGTTTCATATATATATATGTATATATATATATATATATATACATATATATATATGAATCAGATGACAATCTTTTTTAAAAAATTCATAATTTGCTTTCTATAAATAAAGCTATCAGTCTTGGCCGTAAGACAGCAGACCTTGGTGTGAGTATAGTCCTAGAATGAATCACCTTTTGTGTACAGAACTCTTCGACAAACTTTGCAATTTAAGCAGTGTACCTTGGCTCAGATTCCTACAGTTTACAGCTCAGATAAGTATCTGATGCTTTATTTAATTCCTGCTCAGTATATGCTAATGAGAACACTTTGAAATCATTCTACACCATTGAAAGATAATTCGTTAAGAAAAAAAAAAAGTAACAACTGCTTTGTACTTAAATAAAAGGTAAGTTTCCATCTGAAGTAGTTTTCTTTTGCTACCAAAGAAAGTCAACTCAAATTAGGAAGTAAATCACAATAAAAGAAGGGATCATTGTTACTGGGTGAGGGTGGAAGAAGGTGAAAATGTCCATTTCTCATCTGCTCAGCCCTTGCTTACTTGGGTGAGCCAGTTGCCTAGAAACTGGTATGATTAAGATCTGCACATGGATATCCTTAGCTGTCATTATCTAAAATCTATGCTGTCTATTTCCAATTGCCCTTATCTCGTTAGCCTTCTAATCTTCTAAAGTTTATTCTGCTATTTCTTGTGGCGTTTTCTTAGGATACCCCTTGTAGTTGCTGAAGCTGAAGGAGTCTGGGACAGTTCCACATGATTCCTGAGACCTGAAGCTGACTATGGCATGCTCCACCTGTGCTCTGCTCACTACAGATGGTATTTGACGTCACACTCTCTGGTGGCTTGCAGCCTTCCTCTTCTCAAAGGTACGTCGCCGCTCGGTTCAGGCCACCAAGCCCAGTCTTGTAATCTTAGCTGACAAGAAGGAATGAATGATGAAAACGATGGGCTTGGGGCAGGAGTGAAGGTCCAGTTGCTGAAATTTAAAAACAGAGCATGAGAGATATTAAAAGAATGCTTGATGCAGAATGGTAATTTACACATCAAACAAATCCATAGGCACTTCCTGCTTTTAAGTGTTAACTGGAGCAATTATGTTTCAAAATCATTGCCTCCAAAGGAGATAAAGGAGCACATCTTTGAACTTATTCTCTACATGTCATATTTTTTTTTCTGAAATAGGTTCTGTGAAATTTATATATGCTAATTCCATAAATATTGATGTTGCCCTTAACTGTCTAAATAATTTATTTTGGGTACCACAATAGTGATTTTTAAGTTGGATTTGGGATGGCATGAGCAGTACTTAATTTCTTATCTGAAGAGGAATTTTAAATCCTGGTTCTGATACCTTTTAGATGTATTATCATGGAAAAGTCACTTAAAACTCTTCTCATCCTATTAACTCCTGGGGTAATTATAGCATTTCATAAGCCACTGGTTAGGATGCCCACTTTCCATATTGGAGGGCCAGAGTTCAAGCCCAGGCTCCATGTCTGATCCAGTTTCCTGTTAATGTGGGAGGCAGGAGGTAATGGCTCAGATGGGTTCCTGCCACCCACATGGGAGGCTCGGATTAAGTTCCTGGCACCTATTGTCAACCTATCTCAGCCCCAGCTGTTGAAGGCATTTGGGAAGTGAGCTAATAGATAGGAACTCATTCTGTCTGCCTCCCCAATTGATTAATCCATTAATTAAAAATGAGATGCTGTATGTGAAAACACCTTGTGAACTATAAACACAGAACCCACGCCAAGCAGCTGTTTCTTCCCTGTCCTCTGCTCTTCGTTTGTCACATCACTGTGAGGACATTTTCTAAATTCTTCTAGTTTACCTAGTTCAAGTAAATCTAAGCGTTCTCAGTTCTCTTCTGCTATCTCCAGCTTTGTTCTGATAGTGACACTATAGGAAATAAGAGCAACCTGAGCATACAATAATATTAACAAAAATTGAAGGTATACTACTTAGGAATTACAGTGCCATGCTAAATATATTCTATGTTTTCTTATTTCTCTCAAAAAAATCCATATCGGTGGTGGCACTGTGCCAGCACCCATATGGACACTTGCTTAAGTCCCAGCTGCTCCACTTCTGATCCAGCTCCCTGCTAATGCACCTGGGAAAGCAAGATGGCCCAAGTGCTTGTGCCCTTGCACCCATGTGGAAGACCTGGAGGAAGCTCCTGGTTCCTAGCTTTGGGATGGCCCAGCTCCGTCTGCTGCAGCCATTTGGGGAGTGAACCAGCAGATGGAAGATCTGTCTTTCTATAACTCTGCCTTTCAAATAAAATAAATAAAGCTTCAAAAAAATCGATATCAAGTAACTATTGCTATTACCCCCATTTTTTATATGATTTGGAGAATTTGTAAAAGTTTCTGAAATTGTAGATCCTATGTAAATAGAGATTGTGGATCCAGACACTCGAATGAATGTCTATCTGATGCTAGATCCAGGCTTAACCACACTATTCTACCTCACTAACACAGAGAGCAAATTTTGAAAGTAATGTTAAAGATCACCTACTTCAATCCCGTATTTTATGGATAGGGACACTTAGATCCAAAGACATAAAAGGACTTCCCAAGACAGTTGGTGAGGTAGTTGCAGACTCAGAAAGAGAATCTAGGTTTTGACCCCCAGTTTATTGCATTTTCTACAATTCATCTCTGCTCCGTTCACCACACAGGAAAGGCTCATTGGCTGCCTCCTGAGATTGCTTAACTACACACTGGGGTTCTGTGTCTGAACTTGAGCTTATCAACCTAATGTACTGGCAGTAAAAAAGTAAGTCCTTTCTGAGTCTTCCACATCAGGTCATAATTACAGGCAGAAAGGCTGAAATTTAGACATAAGTAATTTTTCTCATGGGCAAAAATAGCCTTGGATTTCTAAGCCAAGGATAAAACAGGAGACTGATTCTTGTTCTTTTCCTCTTTGCTAGAGAGTGGTCACCTTTAGGAAAAAGTACGCAGCTGGGTGATTGATTAGGGCAGCATCTGAACTACAAGTGTTCCCAGGAAAACAGACTTTCAGATCACTACTTTATTCACAAACTGGTAATTCAAGCTAGACTTATTGATTGAAATGCATGAACAAAATCCAATAAAATTCTGCAAATTCATTTTAAAGGTTAGAAAAATGATCAGCTACAAAATAGTTCTCAGCAGGTGAGTGCAGACCAGCAGGCAGCCAGAGGAAAGGGAATGGGTTGCCCGGCTGCCTGTGGTACTTACAGCAGGAAATCTAGCATTGTGCTAAAGCCAGGATGGTAGAGGATAAGGCTACCACCTTTGATCCCAGCATCCCATATATGTGCTGGTTTGTGGCCCGGCTGCTTCACTTCTGCTCCAACTCACTGTTAATGCACCTGGGAAAGCAGTAGAGGATGAACCAAGGACTTGGGTGTCTGCCACCCACATGGGAGACCCAGATGAAGCTCCTGCCTCCTGGCTCCGGCCTGGCCCAACCCCAACTGTTGTAACCACCTTGGGAGTGAACTGACAGATGGAAGACCTCTCTACCTCCCTCTCTGTAGCTCTGATTTTCAAGTAAATAAATAAATAAATAGATCTTTAAATAACAAAGATTGATTTAGAACATTAGCACAAAACTTTGAGGCAAAAGACCCCAAGCCTCTGTTTAGTGGCCCTTTTGTTTAGGTGACCCAAGCTGGCAACCCTTATTGGCTTCTAGAAAATGACCAATCACATCCCACAGGAGAAATGACTGAAATCCCTAAGAGGGAGGGGTGGAGGGAGGAGGCACTGCAGAAAGGCCAGTAGCTAAATGGGAATTTCCAGCTTTTGCAAATTGCAGCGTAACTCTGTGCTTTCCACCTTCCCCATCCTTGTTACCAAAGTGAAGTCAACCAACATTTGCTGGCTAACCGTTTGGCTGGGGAGGAACCAAATGCAGAGCAGCTACTACCAAGCCAAGGACTTCTTTGAAGTTCTAGTTCAAGAACTTAAATGAGAGGCTGTCTTCCTGAGAGATGCCAAGCGGCACACTTGCTGGGAAAGCAGAATGGGTAGCTCTCACCCTTCTGTGTTGCTGAAGCCGTGTACTTTCTCCAGATGGTGGTGTCAAGGACCACAGGAAATCATGAATTTAAACACATGGATGATTTGCATTGGCGTGAGAAGTACAAATGTTACCTTAAATGGTAAATTTGCTAATTTTGTTGGATATTTTTTGACAGTTGCCTCAAACTTGAGTCCCCCTGTGGGTCCCTTTAAGTAGAGGTGACTAGTTTCTGTTTCCCTGTTGTCTCAACCCCCACCCCTGCCATACCATCCCTTACTCCTGTCTCTTCGCTCTTATTCCCTGTGCTGCACTAAGACTTGCCTGGTGGCTGGGACTAGGTACTGGCCCTCCCTGCATTCCTGATACCTAGCATGAAGCTGAGGCTATGTTAGATGCTTGATATGGTTTTCAAATTGAATGATGCATTTTCAAGCTGGTATGTCTATCTGATAAGAATTTAATGCCAACTCTTTTCTTTCCTTTGGTTCAAATATTTATGTAATCTTCAAACAGAAAATGAGACTCAAGGAAAGAACTTTGAATGGATTAAATCCACTCACTTGTTTTTTCAAGAGGCCTGCAGGTACTCTGTTAATAATAAAATGCTTAATATATGTAAGGCAGCATTATATTTATGAGTCATTATATGTTTGTTACAAAATGAAATACATGAAGTCACACTGTCTAAAGAAAAGTACACTTACAATCTCTCCTTCTTTGCCACCAAAATCTAAGTACAGCATCCTGATTCCGTCATCTGAGGACATTTTCAGTTTTTCATAAGGAGACTGTATGATTGTCTTGGGAAAGGCACCCTCTTGAGGTTCAGTGGTAATAGAAAATCCATTCTCATAATGTATGGTCAAACGGCACTCCTGGTTTTTGTAGGTGCAAGCTGAAAGAGAGCGAGAGAGCGAGAGAGACACGTGACCAGTGGAAGTCAACCTACTTTCCCAGGCACTTTACTACTTTAAATGTTTTCAGTCCCAACACTGGTTAAGGCACAAATGGCTTATTAAATTTGAAAAACATATAATTTTTCATGGAAATATTCTTAGATTGGTTTTGGACTAGCCCCATGGAACTAAGGAAAATAAGCTGAAAGAAACTCCTGTTGCTGGGATTTACTAAATGTCACCTGGTCTCAAGGTCTTAGCTGGCTATCTGACCACACACAGGTACATAGGCATACTTGCCTTCCACTGGCCACATGGGCCTTGCTCCAACCAGAAAGAACAGACACTTGACTTGAAGTAAGCAACCTCTGAATCATTGCCATCCTCCGCCTGCTCCTCCCACCCATCTACACACACTCGCACAAGAAGTCATGTCTGCCATTTATTGAAAGCAGCAAGCATACCCTCATTACATGGCTAAAGTTAACAGATGTAACACATTTAAGAGATCAAGAGCGTGTGGTTTAAAAATAATCCAATTTTCTAATTGAAATGTCTAATCAAGCTTGTTTTAAGTATTAAAAGGAGTCTTTTATTTTCCATGACGAATCTGGGCCCTGGAAATGCAGCTGTTGCAGACATTACAGATGTGACATCTTCCACAAAGAATGCTATTTATTCCCACTGGGCCACATGGAATGCAGGGACCTCAGGAGTGCTAGCTCTGATCCAAATACCAAGGCTAAAATTTCCAGGGCCTGTCAGGCACCACCCTTTAATCTAGGGTTCTTACTGTGTTCAAGAAAAGAATCTGACTCTTCAAGCTTTAGGTGCAGACACATGGCTACCACTGGCATCCTAGTTCCATTTGGGAAGCTTCATAAATATATAAAACCATCTATCAAAAAGCACAGGTTATTCAGTATCAAATTGGATTTTTTTTTTTTTACTTCAGAAAACATGACATTGAACCTGGCAAGTCATGGACTTAGGCCTTGACTTAGGCATAGATGATCTTCAGGAAACCAGGAAGGAGGTGGAGGCGGGGGAGTCAGAGTGAAGGGCAGTGCAGATTGACAGCTCACTCTGCATGATCATTACTTCCACTCAGCATCCTAATAACACTGAAATTAACTTTCTCACAGACTCTTGGAACGGGCACTCTTAGCACAATTTTGGAGGCGATAAAGGAAAGCTTGGAGAGGTGAACGTCACTACACAGGCTGCTCAGCCTTCAAAATTCAAGCTCTTTCCCTCTGTCCCGTGTATCTTTCTCATGCCTTGGCACTGCAGATAGGGAGAGATGTGATGACGGTCCTGGGGAGAGCGTCTCATGAATAATGACTGAGTGTAGGGGGTAAAATGTTGGTCTCTAATGCTCACTAAATGAGGCAGCTTTTAATCAAAGCTCTGATGAAACAGACACCCCTTTCCCTGACACTGCAGGCCTCTTTCAACTTACAATACAGGATGATTTCTTGAAAAAGTGTGCTAATAGGTTTGTGAGCCCCCCTGGAAACAGCCTCTGGACGCTGCCATCTGCCACCCTTCAAGCCCGATGTGATCCGTGACTCTGACATGAGGTAGTGGTGGCTCCTGTCTTGGTACTACCTGTTTAGTACTCTTCACCCGCAGAATCTGTTAGTGAATGAGCTCCAGCAGTGGTTTCTTGTTCCTTTTCCTATGTTTAAACTTTAAAGCTCTGCCATCAGATATTCTGAAGTATCTGTGATTATTTTAATTCCCTTTGACCTCAAGTGGTATTTGTGGCCTTTATGTAATGGAATCAGTTATCTAAAGATGTTCTCAATCTACAAAGGATAAATTGAACACATTATCAAGTTAATTGAAGCTCTGATTAAAACAATAGCCCCTTTCCCCAACTCCCTGTAGGCATCTTTCAATTTGTAACTGGCTTGCACCTTTGGCTATTTCCATAACTTCTTGTCTCCCACCAGCCAGCTAGCTCAGTTCACAGAGTTATTTGTTAGTCTCCTCTGGCTAATCTATCAAAGCCCTCATCCATTTTCCTGTCAAAACAGAGTTCTGCTTACCCAGAGACAAGGATATTACAAAATTTGTAGAATGTAAACTAAGCCAAATCTATGTGGGCATCTTTTTTCTTTCCCAGAACACTCCTGAAACGTGTTGCATGGAACCTCAATTTATTTGGCCATACACATGCAGCATCATTAAATACAACATTGAAGTGACTGAAAAGCCTTTTTCTAATTCTTGGGTTCAAAACTCTAGTCTTTCTTGCCATAAAGAATAGGCATGACAAAAAATAAAAGCTTCTGGGTAAGTATTTAGGCTGGCAGTTAAAGCCACAGGTTAGGATGCCTGTTCCTACATAGGAGTGCCTGGGTTCCCAATTCCAGTTCCTGGCCCCCACTTCCTGCTAATGCAAACTCTTGGAGGCAACAGGTGATGGCTCAAGTAGTTGGTTTCCTGCTACCCATGTGGGATACCTAGACAGAGTTCCAGAATCCTGGCTTTGGCTTCAGCAGAGTCCCAGCTACTATGGACATTTGGGGGAATAGTCAGCTAGTAGAAGGGAACTTTCTCAATTTGTCTAGGTCTGTCAAAGAAATAAAATAAATTTTTAAATTAAAAGCTTCCAGGGCACTCCCAAGAGGATTTCAGCAATGAGAGAAATATTTGGAGGCACTGATTAATTTCAAAGTTATTAGAGAAAGACAACGATTATCTTGGATATGCCCATGCAAAAACCTTATGAAACTTGTGGTTTTTCATGTTTGCATGAGTAGAGGAAATCTGGAGAAAGCTATGATGTGGTATGTAGGTTCATCTAGTGGAACACCCCTGGGTGCCTTAAGAAGTCACAGTCTTGTACAATATTGCTTAGGCAGCAGTTCCTGGGCCTGCAGCATCAATACCCCCTGGGCTCCTGTTAGATGTGAATTCACAGGCTTCACTCTACCGCTGCTGAACTCAAACCTCTCAGGGGTGGACCATCAGCAATGGGGCTTTAGGCAAGAAAGCAACCCTGAGACAGTCAAAATTAGATTTTCTGGAAGTCTGTTGTTGAGGATACCAGGTAGTCTGTCACTAAAAGCCATGTGTCTACAGGAGCCCCAGGAGAAGATGACTGTATATCTCAGAGCCAGAAATTTATCATAGATATTAGGATCCGGAGCAACTGTATTACAGATACTGTTCACTGCACATTGTACTTTCTGATAAAGAATACTGGATTAAATACAGAATTTACTTTAGTAAGTATATAAGATTTTACAGCATGTACTTTGTTTATAATGTTACTTTAAATTCATATCACTTTTCCAGCCTTTTATTTTACCTTTGTCCTATTAAAACAATTATTTATATTTCTGTATTTATATACATAGTACAGATATCTATCATTTATCTATCCATCTGCCTATCTCTCATCTATGCACTTGTATAATGCTATGAATATTATTTATCACAGTAGCCTGAACAGAATTGTTTGTTGGGTCACTGGCATGAGTAAGAATAGCCATGACTTTGTAGATGCTACAATGAATGAAGAATGGATCTCATGTGAAACAAGCTAAAGTCAGTCATTCATTAGTTGTATCATCTTTGAAAGTTACTTGACCTTTCTAAAGAATTTGCAGGGGGCTGGCACTGTGGCGTAGCAGGTAAAGCTGTTGCCTGCAGTGCCGGCATCCCATTTGGGTGCCAGTTCAAGTCCTGGCTGCTCCACTTCTGATCAAGCTCTTTTCTATGGCCTGGGAAAGCAGAAGATGGTCCAAGTCCTTGGGTGCCTGCACCCATGTGGGAGACGCAGAAGAAGCTCCTGGCCCCTGGCTTCGGATTGGCGCAGCTCCAGCCATTGTGGCCAACTGGGGAGTAAATCAGCGGATGGAAAACTTCTCTCTCTCTGCCTCTCCTTATCTCTCTGTGTTAACTCTGACTTTCAAACAAATAAATAAATCTTTAAAAAAATTTTGCAGGGTTGGTATTTTGCACTACAGTTAAGCCACTGCTTAGGATGCACCACACCCTTTATCAGAGTGCCTGGGTTTAAGTCCAGACTTCTCTGTTTCTGATCCAGCTTCCTGCTAATGTACACCCCATCCTGGGTTACAGCAGATGATGCCTCAATTAGTGGGGTCCCTGTCACCCATGGGAGAGATGGAGATTATTTTGGGTTCCTGGCTTTGGCCTGGTGCAACCCTGGGTGATGCTGCCATTTGGGGAGTGAACTAGTGGATAAAAGATCTCTGATTCTCTGCCTTTCAAATAAAATTAAAATAAAATTTTTTAAAAGGATCCCTACCAGTTCATCCTTTAGTGTTCATTCCTTTAGGTAACAAACCAACTGACTGTCCAAGTTATTAATTTTCCTTGACTGAAGATGGGATAAGGCTTTTTACAAGTAAAACCTTAGGTTACATTTTAATAGAACACACAATGCATTTGTTTAGAAGAATCCAAGTTTACATCTGGAATTGTAAAGACCCCAAATGCCCAAGAATGGATATTGAGGCTAGGGTCAAGTAGAGAGTATGTCTTTCCCATGATGGAGTGCCACTTCTAGCCCACAGCCTGTAGTACTCACCTGTGGTTATTTCAGTAATGAGTTCAGCTGAGTTGTGGCAACCCTGTACTATACTCCTCGTCCAATGAGAGAGGTCCCTGCTGATCTCTGCCCTGAAGAGATGTGTTTCAATCCCTTGTCTGGTACCAGTTCGCGTTGCAAAAGACAGATCTGCACCAACCGGGGGTGATCCCTTCCCTGGACCTGAATGGACCAGCCTAGAGAGGGGTGGAGGAATGAGAGAGAGAGAGATTATCAAAATGAACACCATTTTATCCACCTGGCATATCATCTCATAAAAGCCCAAATTGGTGCTGACGATTTGTTCTCATTTTTCTGATTTGGAACCGAAGATGTCCACCAGCCCCTACTCTTCACCATGGTTTTCTGTATCTTCTCTCCAATGGTAGAGTGGGATTAAGAGAGCACCCAAGAAATGTGCATCTGGTTGAATGTACAGAGAGTTGAATAATATGACTTTAACCTGTGTAAACTGAACCATTCCCAGTTACAACGAAAAAGAAATAAGGTATAGGAAAGGATTTAAACATGGTGCGATCTTTTTTTCCACCATTCTATTCCTGAGAATGCACACAAGTATGTCTGAGTATCAGCATGAGATGGAAGAGTGAATCTACCACTTTCAGAGCTAGACTTAGTTCTTCTGTGCCTTCTGTAGTGTGGAGCACCTGGCTGCACTGAATGTACTTCTGAGCATGCATATTATTTTTTCCATGCAAGAAGCCTTCAAGTGCAAGCAAGCAACCCATGCTTCAACTGAGGCAGCAATCTGTGTATCTGTTAGAGCCTGAGAAAGAACTGGCAGTTCTGGACTTCTTAAGACATGATAGAGAAATGGACTTCAGGGGATATTCAAGAGGAATTTTACAGCATAAAATTTTCATGCTGGTTTTAGAACATACGCTCAGCATAAAACTTGACTTCTATATTAAATGTTTTTGGAAAAGCCCCCTTAAAATGTGAAAAATCCAAGTGCTCTAAGCACCATCTTGTGAGTTGGCCGTGGTTCCTACTTCTCATTGTCACCTTTAAATACTCATGTTCCCTCTTGCTTCTTGGTATCTCACTCTCTTCTTGGGAATCTCTCATATCAATCATTTGCAGGGTAGCAGAAGTATAATTTAGTAAATGTTCCTGCTGTCCAGGGAACGTGCGTTTCCATCCTTATCTTTTAATACAGAAAGCGACACTTCACCATTTGCAAGAGAAATGTCAGGTGTCTATCCACATCGTGGCTAGGAAAGTTATTAGGCAAAGGGCTTACTGCTTTTAGAATAAAAATTGCACAAAGGAAATCCACAATCTTTATTTTTTCTTGTAAACCTAAACACCATAGAACAAAATCACCAGTGTAGCAGAACATATGATACAGCCTTCTGAATTTCTAGCAGTAAATTTGTTGGCTAGCTCCAGCTTTTCTTCACTTACAGAGTTGGAATCAGGCAGGTGGGAGGGTATGCAATGCCAACTTGAAGACCAAGTTGAAAAGCATTTTGGTTGCATGATTCACTGAAGATATAGAAATTTCATGGTATCTAGTAGTGCATAGGCCAGAGTGAAGGGAAGCAGCTGTTGGTGTGGGTGCCCACACATAGGACTTTCACATGTAGAGACTCCAGCTCGGGAGTGGGGAGGGCATTGAGCAGAACTGACTAGGAAGCTGCTAGGGGATTCTGCATTAGGTCAGGCAGAAGAAAACAGAGATCATTTCTCTAAAATCTAATATAGGTTTTAAAGGAATTGAGGGTCAGGTAAAAACCTAAGAAAAGGTACCTATAAGAAACAGTGTATAATGTGTTCTTAGTTGCTCAAATTTTGATACTAAAGGTGTTTAGATTTTAGTTGATTTAAGAAATCTATCTAGCTTTTTAAGAGCTGTTTCAGTTGGGCACAGTTAGAACACTGCTTGTTAAACTCATCAGGGACCCTGAATGGGGACACAGGTTTGGGACATACAAAAAGCTGTATGAGAACCCCATTATCAGGGCCAGAGTTGCATTGCAGTGGCTCAAGTCGCTGTTTGTGATCCCCTTATACCATGTCAGAGTCCAGTTTGAGTCCCTACCACTCCGCTTATGACCCAGCTTTCTGCTAATGCACCTGGGAGGGCAGTTGATGACAGTCCATGCATGAGGGCCCCCAGGAAAATCTGGAGACAGACCCTGGCTCCTGACTTTAGCTTGGTCAAGACCTGCCTGTTGTGGCCATTTGGGGGGGTCAACCAGTGGATGAAAGATCTCTCCCTCTGTCGCTCTGCCTTTCAAACAAAACTCTCTCTCTCAAAAAAAAGAACCCTATTGTTAGACATATAGATTTTTATCGAACATTTATTTTGTATTAGAACTTGGCTTTAAAACTGTAAAGTACATTGCAAGTATGCCATGCTGCCAGTGTTGGGCCTGGCATTCTGGTGTAGGAGGTGAAGCTGCCCTCCTGCAAGGCTGGCATCCCATGTGAATGTCCATTTGATCCTGGCTGCTCTGCTTCCAGTCTGCCTCTCTGCTAATGTGCCTGGAAAGGCAGTGGAAACATGGCCCAAATGCCTGAGTCCCTGCCACCCACATGAGAGACCTGGATAGAGTTCTGGCTCCTGGCATTGGCTGCAGAGTTGAACCAAAGGATGGAAGATTTCTCTTTATCTTTCTATAATTCTGCCTTTCAAATAAATCAACAAGTATTATGAAAAAAGTTTCTGGAATGTAGAATTTAAAGCTAGTAAATAATGAATCACACATAAAGGTAGTGCTGTAAAGATTAAATAATCAGCTGGCACCGCGGCTCAATAGGCTAATCCTCCGTCTGTGGCGCTGGCACACTGGGTTCTAGTCCCAGTCGGGGCACTGGTTCTGTCCCGGTTGCTCCTCTTCCAGGCCAGCTCTCTGCTATGGCCTGGGAGTACAGTGGAGGATGGCCCAAGTGCTTGGGCCCTGCACCCACATGGGAGACCAGAAGCACCTGGCTCCTGGCTGCAGATCAGCACAATGTGCTGGCTGTAGTGCGCTGGCCGCGGCAGCCATTGGGGGGGTGAACCAACAGCAAAAAGGAAGACCTTTCTCTCTCTCTCTCTCTCTCACTGTCCACTCTGCCTGTCAAAAAAAAATTAATAATAATCAACAACTCTACCTAGCACAGAAACGTGCATACAGTTAATACTCAACATATTTCTAGCCCTCACCCCACCCTCCATTTTCTTTTTTTAACAATACTATTCCTATTCAACAGGATTAAAAATAAAATGTAATGAAATATGAGGTCTTTAAAAACTTCATGGAAAATGTATATAAAAAAATAAATAGATTCTATTTTTTGTACCAAAGACTAACTTATATTTTACTTTTTCATTTATTTTTTTATTATTTGAGAGGCAGACAGACAGAGAGCTCCCATCAACTGGTTAGTTTGCCCACTAAATATCTGCAAAGGCCAGGCCAAACCTGAGAGCTGAGAACTCAATTCCCATCTCCCATATGTGTGGAAGAGACACAACCATTTGAGCCAGTACCTGCTGCTTCCCATGATCTGCATGAGTGGGCAACGGGAATCAGGAGCCAGAGCAGGCACTTTAATGAGAACTGGCACGTCAACTGCTAGACCACACACCCTCACTAACTTATCTTTCAATTCCATTTCTCCACAAACCTTTTGAAGTACCCTTGTCTTTAGAGAATTTAATTCAGTACTTGCCAAATCATAGTTGCACAAGAACTGGCTCCCTTATGCCTTCCCAAACTGGTCTTCATTCTCTAGCCCCTAAATTTCTGTCCCAAGGATCTCTACTCTGTCACAACCCAAGGCCAACACCAATACACTGTAGAAGAAGCAGCAAAGTAAAAAAGAGATGTACCACTCTCATGGAGAGTGCCATTTGTGAATTTCCTACTGTCTCTTGATTTTTCCCAAGAGAGACCATAAGATTGAGTCCAACAATAACAAAAAATACAATTTGTTAGAAAATTGACATTTGAAGTGTGAATTCACATTTGGTACATTCAAATTTGAGTAGAAGGAATTAAATTACTAACAGAACAAAGCCAGATGAAAGCCCAGGAATCAGACTGACAAATACCATGCATAGGAGTCCTTCATGGAGAAGCCCCGCCCGCTACAGCAATGAGGAGAAGAATGGACTCTGGGGGAAGGACCATTGGTGTTCTTTGCTATTCACCTCAAAGCTAAATTCTCATCGATTAAAAGACAAGGGAAGAGGACGAACGGATTTTTGAACTAAGGAAGCATGAATTATCTAATATTTATTAAGAATCAGTTGATTTGCCATCTTTGGAATAACAGACATGTTAAATTATGTGTTCTTCTGCAGATATCCATATTGGTTTGGTGAAATGCACAGTATTTTATGTAAACACTGAGAGAAAGCAGATTGTGTTTTCTGCTGCCCAGTGTGTATACTGGTAACACACTGGGATATATTCTTCAGGTAAAATCACATGAAATACATCAGATATCCCAGATAGGCTTATGATGTGCATTTTCTGGTTGGAGTATTACATAGACCTATAAAATCATTATACATATGCTATGTGTAAATGTAGGAAAATTAATGGACATATGCCTGAAACTTCGAGCTCTATAACTTGACTATGTAAAAGAAAAGCTTGGGAGCAAATCCATTACAATGTCAAGCAGTTTTAAGGTTATTTCTTCTTTGAGTCTTAAAATATCCTTTAAGAAACATCCTATACCACTTAAAGATTAATTTCAAAAAACTATGAAACTGTATCGAATTTGTACATGTTGACTCCATGTGTCATACATGTTTTGTTGGTGTACTTGTTTACTGTTAATGAACATTCAGTGTAGGAATACTGGATGTGCTCATATATGCCCTCCCGCATTCGTTTGTGTCTGGGTTATTCTAAATCATCCAGATCTTGCTCTTACCACCTAATATGTCCAGGCTGTGACTCTGGAATAGCCCTTCTCAGAAGAAGTTAATTGATCCACAGGGGAGGAAACCTACACCTGTGACCTCGTTGTTCTCTTACACTAAACAACTGGCCTCTACCAAGTGAGAGAGCAGAGATGCTGAGACCTGTGAGTTGAAGTTATAGGATATTTTTGGAGTTGGGGGTGTTTTGAGGGTCACAGAGGAACTTCCAGCCCTATTCATGTCCATTGTCCCCTCTGTCCTCACCTGGAACATAAAAATCACTAACCCATTCATTCATTTATCAATTAA